CACCTGGGAGGGCAACCACACCACCCTCCTCTGCATAGAGAACCCTCCCTGCCCAAAACCTCCCTGCCCCCCACTCAAATGCTCAGCCAAATCTCCCTCCCCCCACAGCCCATTCCCACCCTGCTACCCCCTCCCCTCCTCCTGACATGTCCCCCTCCCCCTTTTCCTTCCGGTCCTCCCTCCTTCTCCTTCCCATACCCTCCCTGTCTCCCCGTTCACTTAACATCAACACATCTGGAGAGAAGGGACTTCGTGATAAATCGCCAACATGGATTCAGGGAGGGTAAATCTTGCCTGACTGGCTTAATAGAGAATTCTACGACCAGGTGACAAAGATTAAGCAAGAAAGAGAAGGCTGGGCGGACTGCATTTTTTTGGATTGCCGGAAAGCCTTTGACACAGTACCACATAAGATGCTAGTACATAAGCTGGAGAGACAGGCAGGTGTAGCTGGTAAGGTGCTCCAGTGGATAAGGGAGTACCTAAGCAATAGGAAGCAAAGAGTTACGGTGAGGGGTGAGACCTCAGATTGGCGTGAAGTCACCAGTGGAGTCCCACAGGGCTCTGTACTCGGTCCTATCTTGTTTCTGATATATGTAAATGATCTCCCGGAGGGTATAGATTAATTTCTCTCAATGTTTGCTGACGATGCCAAAATTATGAGAAGGATTAAGACAGAGGAGGACTGCTTAAGGCTTCAAGAAGGCCTGGACAAGCTGAAGGAATGGTCGAACAAATGGTTGTTAGAGTTTAACCCAAGCAAATGTAAAGTAATGAAGATAGGCGCAGGGAGCAGGAGGCCAGATACCAGGTATCATCTGGGAGATGAAATTCTTCATGAGTCAGAGAGAGAAAAAGACTTGGGGGTTGATATCACGCCAGACCTGTCCCCTACAGCACATATCAAGAGAATAACATCAGCGGCATATGCCAGGCTGGCCAACATAAGAACGGCATTCAGAAACTTGTGTAAGGAATCATTCAGAACTTTGTATACCACATATGTCAGACTAATTCTGGAGTTTGCAGCCCCAGCATGGAGTCCATATCAAGTCAAGCATAAGACCAAACTGGAAAAGGTTCAAAGGTTTGCCACCAGACTAGTACCCGAGCTGAGAGGTATGAGCTACGAGGAGAGACTACGGAAATTCAACCTCACTTCGCTGGAAGACAGAAGAGTTAGGGGGGACATGATCACCACATTCAAGATTCTGAAGGGAATTGATAGGGTAGATAAAGACAGGCTATTTAACACAAGGAGCACACGCACTAGGGGACACAGGTGGAAACTGAGTGCCCAAATGAGCCACAGAGATATTAGAAAGAACTTTTTTAGTGTCAGAGTGGTTGACAAATGGAATACATTAGGGGGTGATGTGGTGGAGGCTGACTCCATACACAGTTTCAAGTGTAGATATGATAGAGCCCAATAGGCCCAGGAACCTGTACACCAGTTGATTGACAGTTGAGAGGCGGGACCAAAGAGCCAGAGCTCAACTCCCGCAAACACAACTAGGTGAGTACAGTGGAATGCACTTAAGGAGCAGGTTGTGGAAGCAAACTCTATTCATAATTTTAAAACTAGATGTGATAGGGAAATAGGATTGCTCGGGTGAAAGAGACCACATGTTTAATACACACTATCTTTCTCACTGGGTGTTTGTCCTGCAGACCTCGTGCTGTGGCTGACCTGCAGGTCTCGTGCTCTGGTTGTCCTGCAGGTCTCGTGCTGTGGTTGTCTTGCAGGTCTCGTGCTGTGGTTGTCCTGCAGGTCTCGTGCTGTGGTTGTCCTGCAGGTCTCGTGCTGTGACTGTCCTGCAGGTCTCGTGCTGTGGTTGTCCTGCAGGTCTCGTGCTGTGGTTGTCCTGCAGGTCTCGTGCTGTGGCTGTCCTACAGGTCTCGTGCTGTGGCTGTCCTGCAGGTCTCGTGCTGTGGCTGTCCTGCAGGTCTCGTGCTGTGACTGACCTGCAGGTCTCGTGCTGTGGCTGTCCTGCAGGTCTCGTGCTGTGGTTGTCCTGCAGGTCTCGTGCTGTGACTGACCTGCAGGTCTCGTGCTCTGGTTGTCCTGCAGGTCTCGTGCTCTGGTTGTCCTGCAGGTCTCGTGCTGTGGTTGTCCTGCAGGTCTCGTGCTGTGGTTGTCCTGCAGGTCTCGTGCTGTGGCTGTCCTGCAGGTCTCGTGCTGTGGTTGTCCTGCAGGTCTCGTGCTGTGGTTGTCCTGCAGGTCTCGTGCTGTGGCTGTCCTGCAGGTCTCGTGCTGTGGTTGTCCTGCAGGTCTCGTGCTGTGACTGTCCTGCAGGTCTCGTGCTGTGACTGACCTGCAGGTCTCGTGCTGTGGTTGTCCTGCAGGTCTCGTGCTGTGGTTGTCCTGCAGGTCTCGTGCTGTGACTGACCTGCAGGTCTCGTGCTGTGGTTGTCCTGCAGGTCTCGTGCTGTGGTTGTCCTGCAGGTCTCGTGCTGTGGCTGTCCTGCAGGTCTCGTGCTGTGACTGACCTGCAGGTCTCGTGCTGTGGTTGTCCTGCAGGTCTCGTGCTGTGGCTGTCCTGCAGGTCTCGTGCTGTGGCTGTCCTGCAGGTCTCGTGCTGTGGCTGTCCTGCAGGTCTCGTGCTGTGGTTGTCCTGCAGGTCTCGTGCTGTGGCTGTCCTGCAGGTCTCGTGCTGTGACTGACCTGCAGGTCTCGTGCTGTGGTTGTCCTGCAGGTCTCGTGCTGTGGCTGTCCTGCAGGTCTCGTGCTGTGGCTGTCCTGCAGGTCTCGTGCTGTGGCTGTCCTGCAGGTCTCGTGCTGTGGTTGTCCTGCAGGTCTCGTGCTGTGGCTGTCCTGCAGGTCTCGTGCTGTGACTGACCTGCAGGTCTCGTGCTGTGGCTGTCCTGCAGGTCTCGTGCTGTGGTTGTCCTGCAGGTCTCGTGCTGTGGTTGTCCTGCAGGTCTCGTGCTGTGGTTGTCCTGCAGGTCTCGTGCTGTGGCTGTCCTGCAGGTCTCGTGCTGTGGTTGTCCTGCAGGTCTCGTGCTGTGGTTGTCCTGCAGGCCTCGGGCTGTGGCTGTCCTGCAGGCCTCGGGCTGTGGTTGTCCTGCAGGTCTCGTGCTGTGGTTGTCCTGCAGGTCTCGTGCTGTGGCTGTCCTGCAGGCCTCGGGCTGTGGTATTCTTCAGCGTAGCGATATTGTCATTGGTGATGACTCGGATATCGGCTACCGTGTTTTCCTTTTTATTTTCTTGGCAAGTTGTGTTCTAATTTTCCAAGTTTGTGATGGAATGTCTTGCTTTTTAAGGACGACGAGACGTGCATTTTAGAACACGGGATTACGCCCATGGTTGAATGATTTCTGGGACATCATCAGAGAGGTTGACTGCCACTTGGGGGCTGGAGGCGCTTGCTATATGTGGTAAGGCTCCAGCAAGCTTCTTGCTTTCATTGCTGGTAGGAAATGTTCCGTTAAGATGAAGACGGACGTCAGTTGCTTGTCTCTGACACTCTCCTCCATTGTGGGTGTCCAGTAGCTTGGTTGATGGCGCTATGTGCGGTCTTCCGCTTTTGTGGTCAGTGGCTCGAGTCTCCTATAACCCAAGTGAATAAAATGTATTTATATTTGTTTTCTCCCTTTCTTCTCCCCCCCCTCCCTGCCCAACTATTTGGGCTGGACGGTAGAGCGACGGTCTCGCTTCATGCAAGTCGGCGTTCAATCCCTGTCCGTCTAAGTGATTGGGCACCACTCCTTTCTCCTGTCCCATCGCAAATCTTTATCCTGACCCACTTCCAAGTGCTATATAGTCGTAATGGCTTGGCGCTTTCCCCTGATGAAACTACTTCCTTTTCTCACCCCCCTCCCTCCCTCCATCACCCCACCCTCCCTCCCTCATTCATCAGTCACTCTCTTCATCCATCAGCGTGTACCCCGTTCCTTGCTCCGTGCTCTCCACTGTATTAACAGGTGTGAGGAGGCGAGGCGTGGAGCCCCAGACGCCACCCTGGCAGTATGGGGCTCCACGCTAAGGGTTAATGTGAAATGTCAATGTGTTGACGAGAACGTCTTCCCTCGCGGTGTGTTGCCAAGCTCTCAGGCAAGTGAGAGAGAGAGGGAGAGAGGGAAATAGGGAGAGGGAGGAGAGAGAGAGAGAGAGAGAGAGAGAGAGAGAGAGAGAGAGAGAGAGAGAGAGAGAGAGAGAGAGAGAGAGAGAGAGAGGGAGAGAGAGAGAACATGGATGAAGGTTGAGGATAGACGGTTATCATAGATACATTGAGGTAGCTGGGATTGAGTCGGTTAGTTTATGTAAGCCAAATACCGAACTTAAAGTAACTGCTGCATTTGGTACAGTCAAACCCTAAACTATACATCAGTACCTTCCCTCCGACCCCCCCCCCCACACACATCCCCCCCACACACACACCCCCACCACCCACACACACCCCCACCACCCACACGACATTACCCTCCCACACACCAACAGTGGAAGGAGTGATAAGCCTCCTCAATCATACGAGGTCTTCATGTACGCCCACTCCACTGACTAGCTCTCCTATGTGTTGACGAGGACGACCAACCTGGGGTTACGACTCATTAGCCACATGACCAAAACACTGTTGGTGGGTGTACTCCCCTAGGGGCCCCTGACAGGCTCCAGCTCCTCAGCCTCACCTTTCCAGTATGTTGTACGTTAAAGCAATGATTTAGTTCCCTCGCTGATGTTGTTATCATCAACTCATCTCCAGCACTCAGAAGTCAGGACACGTCCTTACCTTACCTTACTGGTCCTTTGGCGGGACCAAAGAACTAGAGCTCAGCCCGCAAGCACAACTAGGTGAGTACACTTCACATGGACTCAGGATGAAGGACTTATCATAAGGATGAAGGACTCATCAACAGGATGAAGGACTCATCATCAGGATGAAGGACTCATCATCAGGATGAAGGACTCATCATCAGGATGAAGGACTCATCAACAGGATGAAGGACTCATCATCAGGATGAAGGACTCATCATCAGGATGAAGGACTCATCAACAAGATGAAGGACTCATCATCAGGATGAAGGACTCATCATCAGGATGAAGGACTCGTCATCAGGACGTCGGCTTAACACGCAGCAAGAAGCATTCTACTGCACCAATGATAGTGATGGCGCCGGAGAGTCAGGGGCGGAGGTAAGTCTACACTATATAAGCTTCACCTGAGGGCATCACACTCTGAACGGCCCCTCAAAAGCTCTGCATTTCTATTCATATGCTA